TGGTAGTGGCAGGAGCCTCTCCCGCCTCCTCAGCAGCGCTAAGGAAGTCCGACTGCAGCTTAGGCCTGCTCCCCGCTGGCAAGTGGACATCCCCCGAAGGCTGCCAGGCTGCCAGAGGAATGTCTGATTGCCAGCTTAGGCCCAATTTCCCGGGGAGTGGGCCTAAGCCAGCATGTGGTCATCCCCCGAGGGGTCCCAGACTGTGAAAAGGCACAGGCCAGGCTGAGGGACCCTCCCTTGAGTGCACAAATGTTTGTGCATTGGGCCTCTAATATATCCTATCTAATAAAAGAGAAACATGGTAATTGGCGTATGACCTGTCGCTCTGGGATGGTGGCAGGGCCTGTGTCCCACTTTGTCAGCGCCAGGTCCATGCTGTCATTTCTCTGTAAATGGTTAGTGTGCATCACAGCAGCTCCTGCATTGAGCATCTGCCCCCTGGTGGTCAGTGCACATCATAGCAACTGGTCAGACTGGCGGAGGGACACTTAGCATATTAGCCTTTTATATATAAAGACTAGAGGCCCAATGCACAAAATTCATGTAAAAATAGGCCTTCCTTCCCGCAGGATGCCGGCACAGACTTCCTTCTGGCACCCGGGACCCAGGCTTCACTCCCCAAGACCGCCAGCAGGCACCCAGGACCCAGGCTTCCTTCTCAGCCCTGGCTTCATTCGGAATGATGGAATGACATCCAGAAGGACGTTCACTCTAGTTAACAAATTATGCTTTTATTATTAAGGACTAGAGGCCTGATGCACAGGGGGTGTCCCTCAGCCGGCCTGTGCCCTCTCACAATCTGGGACCCCTCGGAGGATGGAAGCTCCCGCCATCACTGCTGGGCTGGCAGCCATCAGCCTGGCTTGTGGATGAGCAGAGCTCCCCTGTGGAAGCATACTGACCACCAGGGGGCCGCTCCTGCATTGAGCGTCTACCCCCTGGTGGTCATTGTGTGTCATAGTGACCAGTCATTTCTAGTCGTTCTGCTGTTAGGGTCAATTTGCATATTACTCTTTTATTATATAGGACAGAGGCCTGGTGCATGGGTGGGGGGCGACTGGTTTGCCCTGAAGGCTGTCCCGGATCAGAGTGCGGGTCCCTCTGGGGTGCCAGGCCAGCCTGGGTGAGGGGATGAGGGCCGTTTTCAGGTTGGCCACACACTGTTCAGGGAGGGGAGTCCTGCTGGGGTTCCTGGACACAACCCCTTCAGGGTGGGGGTCCCTGCTGGGGTGCCTGACCAGCCTGGGTGAGGGGCTGAGGGCTGTGTGCAGGCTGATCAAGCCCCCCAGAAGGGACTCATACCCCATGAGGATGTGACTAGCCTGGGTGAGGGGCTGATGGCTGTTTGTAGGCTGGCCAAAGCCCCTTCAGGGTGGGGGTTCCCCCTGGGGTGCCTGGCCAGCCTGGGTGAGGGGTTGAGGGCTGTTTGCAGGCTAGTCAAGCCCCCCAGCAGGGACCCTCACCCCATGAGGGTGTTGCCAGCCTGCGTGAGTGGCTGAGGGCCGTTTTCAGGCTGGCCACACCTCCATCAGGGTGGTGGATCCTGCTGGGGTGCCTGGCCAGTCTGGGTGAGGGGCTGATGGCTGTTTGCAGGCTGGCCACAACCCCTTCAGTGTGGGGGTCCCCGCTGGGGTGCCTGGCCAGCCTGGGTGAGGGGCTGATGGCTGTTTGCAGACTGGCCACAGCCCCTTCAGTTTGGGAGTTCCCACTGCGGTGCCTGGCCAGCCTGGGTGAGGGGCTGAGGGCTGTTTGCAGGCTGGCCACAGCCCCCAGCCACCCAAGCTCCCAGTGGAGGCTGGCTGGAAACAGGTATCTGGGATTTATTTAGCTTCTATAATTGAAACTTTGTTGCCTTGAACCGAGGCCACAGCCGGCCAGGGTAGGTGGGAAGTTTGGCTTCCTCCATCGCCGGGGCAACCAAGCCTCCTGCTTGCTCCAGCTCCGTGGCTGCCAGCCGCCATCTTGGTTGGGTTAATTTGCATATAGTTGCTCTGATTGGCTGGTGGGCATGGCTTGAGGTGTAGCAGAGGTGCAGTCAATTTGCATGTTTCTCTTTTATTAGATTAGATGACTAGGCATGAATTTTTTTATTTATCCAACTTGAGATTTATTTTGTTTACTAAATCTGAGCATTCATATCTTTCATTACCTTGACTATTTAATCAGCTATTATCTCCTCAAAGATTTTCTCTATCCCCTTCTCTGTCTCCTCTCTTCTGGAATACCAAAAAAGGAGAGAGAGAGAGAGTCAGAATCTCTCACTTTATCTTCTGTCTTACCTTTTTTCATATTTTCTACCTCTTTGTCTCTCTGTGCTGCATTATGTGTAATTTTTTCAGACCTAATTAATTTTCCCTTAACCAATGATAAATCTATTTCCTGCTGCTTTAACTCAATGATTTTTTACATTTCAATCATTATTTTTAATTTTTTAGGAATTTAAATTGGTTCTTTATCAATTCTGCTGGAAATTTTTTATAGCATCTGTTTCTTTCACATGTTTTTAATGTCTCCTTTAAATATTTTAAATATTCTAATATCTGACATCCTTTTTGGTCTAACTCTGCTCTGTGTTGTTTCTGCTGATTCTTCCTCAGAGTTGATTCTTTCCCTTTGCTTTGTAATTTTGTATTGTGTGCTCATGCTTGGCAGGATTTTATCTATTAAGAACCTGTGAAACCTATTCTTGGCTTAGGGCTTCCTAGACCAAGCAGGTAACAATGAGTTCAAACTCCAAAACTGTATGAGGGCAATAGATACAACTACTCAAAAAAGACTAATTTTTTTAATTTAATTTTTTCCATTACCATTTATCCCTTGTCCATGTCCATGAGTTGTTTATTTTCTCTTTTGCTCAATACCCCCACCCCCACAATACCTCCACCACTAACACCAGAACTAGTCTGCCTACTATCTATGAGTCTGAGAAAAGACTAATATTTCTACAACCAATCCTACCCAAGAGCCAGGCCTACAGACACAAGTTTCCTGATCATGTTCTTTTATACTAAGTGGCCTTTTCAAGTTAATTCTTTCCCTGAGGACATAGCCCACCAAGAATTTTATGCAGGGGTCTCAGTCCTGATCTTGCTTTGTTTCCAATCATCATCTCCTGTCACCCAAGCCTCTGAGTTACTCAAACTGACACCCACAGAGCAGCCTCAGTACCAAGGCACTCTTTGTTTTGGGTGTCTGAGGATTTCCTTTATTTTCTAGTTAGCTCAGCAATCTATTTAAATGGGGACGTGTTAAACTTTATTCAGCATATCCAGGAACTTTGCAATTGAAGTTTTTTTGTTTTGTTTTTTAGGATATACATGCCATCTTAGTGTTCCTCCCACATGTTCTTAAATGATAATTCAGCTTGCAATTTATGGACCAGTTTGGAAAGGAGAAACAAGCAGAAGCAGGGAAACCTATTAGGGAACTATTGCAGAAATTTAGACAAAGGTTTAGATAATAACTTGAAGGAGAGTGGTGGTGGCAAAGAGAGAAATAGATGGGCAATATTTAGTAAGTGAAATCAACACGGTTTCAGACGATCAAGAACAGATGTCTAGTGGGGAGTTTCTATAGGAAACAGGAACTCAGAGGTGAGATTCAGTTGCATAGAACATTTGGCACGTCTTTGAAACACTGGGAATTTAATCCACCTACATAGATGCTTGGGGGAAAGTGCACAGTGGGAAGAGGAAGGTCCTAGGACCTTGCTTTGAGGAATACCAACATTTTAAAACCTTAGAGGAGGCGAAACAAGCAACTGAGACTGAAAAGAGCGAGGAGACAACCCCAGAGAGTGTGGCTTTCACTCAGACCAAGAGATGATTTCCAAAGGAAGGGAGGAGTCAGCAAGTGTCCAGTGATACAGAAATCAAGAAAAATGACTGGAAAACCAGGCATTCCTTTTACTGACACATGAGAAACTGGCAGTCTTGGCGAGAGAGGCGATGAGCGATGGAGTCAGAGCCAGGCGGCAGTGAACTGGGAAGTTAGAAAACGGACACGGCTCATTGGGAACGTTTGGCAATGAAGTCGAAGACGGAGGACATTAGCAGAGGACAAAGGAGCTGGAGAAGGGCTTTTTAAAGACGGGGGAACTTTAGGATGCTTAAACGCCGATAGGAAGGGGCTGGGACAAAGGAAAAATGAAAGGCCGCGTAAAAAGAAATCCACTGTAAAAGTGGGTGGATTCTTTCGGAGTAATGACCCACCAAACTGAATGTACCTCCAGAATCTAGGGGCTGGAGCAGCTTCGGGTTCCGGAACCCTTTAGTCCACAGGCCGACCAACACTCTATCCAATGAGCTAAAATGGCTAGGGCCTATTATTCCATTTTAATGATGCAGATATTCTGCACAGAGAGATTATGTAATTTGCCTTAAGTCAGACTTAATAAATGGTGGAGCTGAGGTTAAAACTGGAGACAGCTCCAGCGTGTCTTCCCACCTCCTCCCCTTCTTTCCCGGCCCGGCGCCAACCCCGCCGCTACTCTCCCAACCCCCGACTCCCCCACCCCGCCCACGACTGCCCCACACAACCACACACACTCAGTCCGGGCCACGCTTCGCAGTGAACTGCGTGCAGTGCCGCCTTTGCTAGGAATTCTTCCGGGTCACGGGGCAGGGCCACTCCCAGTCTCGATCCCGACCTGCCCACTCCCCAATGGGAGCGCCCCTCCTGAAGGACGCATGCGCGTGTCCTCCCTCCTTCCCTCCCCTCCCAGCTTCTAGATGTTGCGCAGGCGCGTTAGGTCGTGGTTGCTATGCGGGTGCTCGTGGGTGAGGGAGGGCAAAGAGGGAACGTGGGGGGCGGGTTTATGGAAAGAAGATTGAGCCAGAGTTGGGGAGCCAGGTGGACCCGGAGGGAGGGAACTGTCTCGTGCCCCGGCAAACTGGCCTTGGCCTCCTAACCAGAGAAGCCGAATCTCCCGGCCTAACCCCTGTGACCTGGGTCACCTCTGTATCGCGGAGACGGGGCCGAGGAAGAGGGGAGGAGGCGGGGGGGCAAATGGCCTGGCGCCAGAAGAGGGGGCCACAGGCCGGAACGGAAGGCACCCCCTGGAGAACAAACACCTCGTATTTTCTGATCAGGTGGCGGGACGGGCTTCATTGGGACAGCCCTAAGCCAACTGCTGAAAGCCAGAGGTCACGAAGTGACACTGGTCTCCCGACAGCCCGGCCCGGGTCGGATCACGTGGGTATGTCCCTCCTCGGGAGGCTGGGGGCGGGGAGGAGGGGTGGCCCTTTTGGCGGCGCTGGGCGAGAGGGGCACTGTGCGCTTTGCTTTCTCTGACAGGATGAGCTCGCCACGTCGGGGCTGCCCCGCTGCGACGCCGCAGTCAACCTGGCTGGAGAGAACATCCTCAACCCTCTGCGAAGGTCAGTCCGTGCTGGGCCCCAAGACCGGGCCGCTTCAGAGCAGGAGGTGGAGAGGGACGACTCAGACCCCCTAGATGTGAAGAATGAATGGAGAGGCCGGATCCCGGACCGCTCATCCCGCCCCACTGCTCCAAACCCACCCTCGCTTCTACCCACTCGGCCAGTTGGCTTTAGTCCTCACAACTCAGGATGCCCAAAAGGGATATGCCTTTTTCCTCTAAAGGAGAGACGGACAATTTCTCTAAGCCACAATGCAGGGTTTTACTTAGAAATGGGCACGGACGAGCCTCAGGGAGAGAGGAGAAGGGAGATGCGCATGTATGCATTCAGTGGCTTATTTCCCTTGTTTCTCCTGCAGGTGGAATGAAGCTTTCCAAAAAGAGGTTCTCAGCAGCCGCTTGGAGACCACCGACCTGCTGGCTCGAGCCATCACCAAGGCCCCACAACCCCCCCAAGCCTGGATCCTAGTCACAGGTGTAGGTATGCCCCGAATCACCAACCCCTTACGTTAGCCAGGGGAAGAGAGTACACACTGAGGGGGTGGCTCAGGCCCTTCTAGCCATCCATGCCCAGAGGTCTTCCTGGGCCCTGTTCCATGCTCGTTTCTCCTGACCGTTGTGGACTTGTGCTGAGAAACAGACCCTCAGAAAGGGAGTGGAGCTGTGCTGCTCCCAAGCCCCTTGCTTCTCACAGCACAGATCTTTAGGAGCAGCATTTCTGATTCTTGTATTTCACCTTTGGGACCAAAATAATGGCAAATAGTGTTAACATATACACCAGCCACTGAATGTTTTACACATTTAATCCTCACAAGAACTCTATGAGGTTCGTACTATTATTCCACGTTTATTTTATTATTTTTTAATATATTTTTATTGATTTCAGAGAGGGAGAGATAGAAACATCAGTGATGAGAATCATTGATCAACTGCCTCCTGCACGCCCCCTACTGGGGATTGAGCCCGCAACCTGGGCGTGTGCCCTTGTCCGAAATCGAATCCGGAACCCTTTAGTCCACAGGCCGACCAACACTCTATCCAATGAGCTAAAATGGCTAGGGCCTATTATTCCATTTTAATGATGCAGATATTCTGCACAGAGAGATTATGTAATTTGCCTTAAGTCAGACTTAATAAATGGTGGAGCTGAGGTTAAAACTCAGTCAGCCTGGCGCCCACGTCTTTATTCTTAACCGCTACACTCTAGCAGCCTCTCAGCTTCGCCGTGCAGCTAAAGGTAAATTAATCCAGGCAGTAACAGGTCAGCTAATGAAGAAGCTCACGGGAAAAATATCCACAGCTCTGTCCCATGGGGATATCCCAAGGCCAAGGGGGGACCTCCATGGCAAAGGGCCAGCAGGACCAAGGACAGCCAGGGCAAACTAGTGCTGTTCTACCGGCAGCTTACTACCAGCCCAGCCTGACTGCTGAGTATGATGAGGACAGTCCAGGAGGGGATTTTGACTTTTTCTCCAACCTCGTAAGCAAATGGGAAGCTGCAGCCAAACTTCCTGGAGATTCTACACGCCAAGTGGTGGTACGCTCTGGTGAGAACAAGGGGCCTGCGTGTCAGGCAGGGTTGCAATATCTTCTCTGGGCTGGGGGAGTTGGGGGATAAGGGGAGCTGAGCTTACTAAGTGAGGATGCCACTGCTTCGGGCCCACTTGCAGATGGGAGGATGGGAAGTCCCAAAGAGAGCCGACTACAGAGCTAAGCCAGCATGGGAAAAGAGTGAGAAACGGGAGATGGGGAGAAACAGTGGACTGCCTGGAGGCTGAGGGGCCTCCCTGTACCATCCTTCTTGCCTACTCTAGGGGTTGTGCTGGGCCGTGGGGGCGGTGCCATTGGTCACATGCTGTTGCCCTTCCGTCTGGGCCTGGGGGGCCCCATCGGCTCTGGCCAACAGTTCTTCCCCTGGATTCACATTGGGGACCTGGCAGGAATCCTGGCCCATGCCCTTGAAGCAAGCCATGTGCAGGGCGTCCTGAATGGAGTGGCTCCAGCCTCTACCACTACAAATGCTGAGTTTGCACAGGCCTTAGGCACAGCCCTAGGCCGCCCAGCCTTCATCCCTCTTCCTAGCGCTGTTGTGCAAGCTGTCTTTGGACAAGAACGTGCCATCATGCTGCTGGAGGGCCAGAAGGTGATCCCACGGCGGACACTGGCCACTGGCTACCAGTATTCCTTCCCAGAGCTGGGGGCTGCCTTGAAGGAAATCATAGCCTAAGTGGGAAGGTTCGATCGTAGGGCCTAAGGCCCGTCCCTCAATAGAGGGTTCCCAGTGAGAGACTGTGAATAGGTCAGGTACTCCTCTACCTGAGACCTAAAACCTCTTCCTTTTTCTTTCTCATTATTCCGTTGCTGCACTTTAACTGACTGCCCACTGTTTCAAGGTTGCAATTTCATCTAGTTGGGACCTTACCCTCTTCAACTCCTTATAAAAGAGTTTCCAAGTTTGGTTTCCCTATATGTCCCATTCCTGCCCCATTTCTCTTTTGCTGTGTAATGAATGCTCTACAATTTAGGCAATAAAGATAAATTATCTCATTAGCTTTGGCTCATCTCTCTGGCCTAGGTTCTGCTTGAATGTATTTCAAGGAACGTCACCCTAGATGACTCTTTCCTCTATGTGGGGTTTTGAAAGTGACAATGGGCAACATCTTTTTGTTTCCTCCATTGCCAAAAGAGTTAAACTGGGAGCATGAGATTATGATAAAAGTAGAGACTATAAGATAAGTGACTCATTTCCAGTGGGTACTGTGGTCATCCTGCTGACTTATTCACATGGTACCATTAGGATGCCAGTGAAGAAATGGGGCCCCAAGTCTAGGACAGCCTTCCACCTGTCACTGAATTAATAAACCAATCACATACTGGTCAAAGTTCATCAAGCTGCAGGAGTAAGCTAGCACCCCTCTAAGAAGCTTAGGACAGGCCTGATATCAGAGTCCCAGGCAGGAAAGAAGACATCTTTGGCCTACTGTACACCCACCATCACTGAAAGTGAAAGGGGCAAGGAATATACCAAAAACTACAAACAACCCCAGGGGTGGGAGGGTATGGTGGAAATGCCAAATGTTTATTTAGGACTCTCTCCCTTTTTACCTACCCTGATTTCTATATGACCAGTGGTTCCTCAGGCCACCAAGTTGTGCCATATTAACCAATCTCCTTTCTTCCAAGGAGACTTTGAGTCACTGTCAGCTCCCTGGCTAGCCTTTCTCCTACACACCTGTCCTCAGCCCAAGTCAGTAAGGTCTAGTAATATACATCCCCAACAGGGAGGAGGGGCAAAGGCTAGGATCCAGGACCCTCCCCATCATCAGCTCTCACTAGAATGAGGAACTGGGTGACAGTCTTCAACTCCCCACGCTGCTCAGGGAACAGAAGCCAGAGCCTGAAAAGGATCATGTCCAGGGACTTGCTGCAGGGCCCAGACACAGAACCCTGTGGCACCTGCCCCTCTTCTTTATCTGGTCCTAGACTCTTTAGGAAGTTGGCTGGCCCTCTTATTCCTGAGGGAATGACCAGCCTCAAACGCAGAAGTACATAAGGGTATATTGGGGGCTGCAATAAAAGACTAAACTGTCCACGAGGTAATGTGCTACCTTGAAGGCAGTTTTTTGGCACTAGCGGACTTCCAGCAGATACAGGACAATGACCTGTAGGATTTTGGGTGGAGAGGATGTTCTGATGGGACAGCAGTTGGTCTGATTCTCCCCATTTTAATTCTTCAGTTTTCATTTTCCAGATAATTAGTTCATCTAGTTACAACCTCTGTAGCCCTCCCCCACCCCCAACCCCATACATACACACACACACACACACACACACACACACACACACACAAAGCAGAAGTGGGCCTTGCTTTATGCAACATAAATGTTCTGTAGAGAAAACGCTAGGGTCAGGTCACATTAACATTGTCATAGCAGAGCATGGCTTCCATTGATTTGGTGAATGCGCGACACCACAGCAAGTGCATTGAACAGGGGACTTTCTGACACATGCGGTAATCTGTAAACAAACACTTGAATGCAACAGGAGAGCTGCCATTTAGAGGAACCCTGAGAGTATTCTGGTAATGCAAACAGTCACCCCTAACTAACTGTTCTGTAAAGGTGGATTTGGGGTTGCCCAAAGGGACGCAGCCATTATAGGGCACAAAATGAGGGCGCAGTGTTAAAATCTAGGGCGCAGGCCCTGGGAACAGAGGACACTTGGTTCTCTGAAAATGAGGTTTTGGTTTGGAAGCCTGTGCAGCCACAGACAGACACACCTGAGACTTGGTCCATGTCCTTTTCCTCCAAAGAGCCCTGCTCCATGTTCTCATTTCCCCCAACAGGCATTTTTTCATCTGATTTATAGGCAGAAGTAAAGGGCAAGTAGCTCAATCAAGGTCACAGACAGGCACAGCTGAGACCAGAAGCCAAGTCTTCCTCTACTTTCCCCACCAGCTCCCTGCTGCCCACTGTAACCCAGACCCCAGCCTTCCCAGGGCCCCGCATTCCCTTTTCAAGGTTCCCAGGAGTTCTGCCAGGCCTGGGAGCATCCTGTCCTCTGGCTTTCTAGAGCAGCAGCCAGGGGTAGGAAAGGCTTGCTTCCTTGCCACCTGTCTTCATTCCCCTCCCACAGAGGAACTGGAGTCCCAATCTCCAGGACCTAGCCTTTCCAGCAGCCTGCACTCCCTACAGAAACCCTGTGCTAAGGCAGGCAAGGTTGAGGAGTGAAGGCTGACCAGAACCCCTTGAGAGCTGGTTGAGGTCCTGACTCAAGAGGAGATCAGGTCTCCTTACGTCCCCAAAGTGCCCCAGGCAAGAGCATTCCCCAGTCACGAAGGCTCTTCTCAGTGCTTCCCTTACCCAATGCACCAACTCGGAGTGGGTCTGGGGCAGGGTCTGAGCATCACAGAAGGGACTAAGCTAGGCAAGGCTGGAGCTGATGGGATGGCAGCCACGAGGGCAGGTGAGGCTCAAAAGTTGAGACTGAGCAGGGCCTCAGAGAGCTGGTTGATGTCGCGGCAGTAAGGCTCCCGCTGCAGGATGAAGTCCACCTTGTGATCCTGGCCCCAAAACACCTCCAGCAACTGGCGCCGGAGCCTCTCAGTCTCCCGGGTCTTCCGAATGCCACCACTGCCTTTTTCCTCCTCTTCTCTCCCCTGCTGCTGCTGACTGTGTTCTGGGGGGCCCCTGGCAGGATGCTGAGCCTTAGAAGATTCCTGTGCCCTAGGAAGAAGCAGGGGGAATAGAAGAGCTGATGTGCATCCTGGAGAGAAGTTAGAGACTCAGTGGGCCTCCCAGCTCTCCACTGCTATTAACTGCCCTGCCTATTCCTGGCTCTGAAGTTCCCTAAACCGACCACTGAGGGGCAGTATCAACCCACTTCTGACGGGGAGACAGAAAGTTCCTTTGAAACCAGGAAGGTGAACCTTGCCATTTCTATAAATCTAGCCTAATAAACTAATCACTTACTTAGTGGTCCAGCAGAGGGCGTGCTGAATACAAGTGGCCATAAGTAAAATCAACCATGTTCCAAATAACTCCAGCAAACTAACTAGAAAAAACAGGAAGCAAGAGCTTCCCTCCCAGCCTGCAGAGTCTGTGTCAGGACTTCCAGGGAAGCAGTTAAAGGCAAATTAAGCTGGTCCACACTGAGGTCACACTTCCTCCAAGTCTCCAGGCCTGCAAGGCCCCTGCAGAAAGGGCGCCAAGGCCAGGCTGCCTGCGAGAGTCTGAAGCGTTACCTGACTGGCTTCTTCAGGAACTCATCCAGCATAGGGCCATTTCGCCCCAATGGGTCATCAGGGACCATGAAGAGGTTTCCCACGAAGGTGAAGGGCAGCAGGCTGGATGGGAACAGAAATGTAATGGTCACAGAGGGACCCCTGCTCACCTCCCAAACAGCTGAGACCAACTCCACCAGAAGCTGTCAGCTATTATCCTTCAAGCCCGTGTCAAGCCCCTTCCCAGAGTCCTCACCCGGTGGCAGAGAAGCACTGGTTTTAGAGAAAGGTCTGAGTCGGAGCCCTTTTCTCAGGGGATGTCCCCTCACCGCTCTCTGATGATTGCCATCCACTTCTCAGACTCCTCCGCCAGGTCCCGGAACTGGTCATTGGAGACAATGATCCCGTCGGTCTCTTCAGCCAGCTTCACCATGAACCTGTCTCAAAAACCACAGCGGCATTCTGGACTTCTCTAAAGCCTCGACCCCAAAGAGCACTATCAACTCCCCTGACCCACCGCTGGTGATGGAGATCTGTCCCCACCACCACCCCCATTCTGACCCAGCCACCAAGGAACCGACTGGATACATAGGTTAGAGAGAACAAAGACCAATCCAATGTGGAATCCCAAGAACATCCCCTCCACTCACCACAACCCTCTACCCAATACTTCGTGCTTCATTAATAAGACAGTAAGATCCAGTCCTGGTCCTTTCTTCCACCTTCCAGATACAAATCTATCAACAATCAGTCACAAATCCATCCTGTTTTTCCTCTTAAAAGCCTTCCATTCTGTCCCCTTCCTTTCCAATCCCACCATTACAATCTTAGCTATTCAGACACTGCAACTGAGATACTGATAAGGGGTCCCCTGACATTTACCACCCTGTGGTCTCTCCTGCCCTTCCCCAAGAGAACATGTTCTCCAGCTACACAAAACCCTTCCATACCTGCCCGTTATCTACTGCATAAAGTCCACACACCCAGGCCTGGCGGCTAAACCCCTGTAGAGCCCAGATGCAGCCACTTTTATGGCCTTCTCTCCCAGTATTCCCAAAGGTACTCTCAACTTCAGCCAAAATCAATGATTGGATTACGTCTCTTCTTCAAACATACTCTCTGACTTCTATGTTTCTCAAATTATTCCCTCCATTCAGGAAGGTGATCCCAAACGTCACTGATGAACAAAATCACAAGAATAACTTTTTAAAAGAGATGCCTGCCCTAGCCACTTTGGCTCAGTAGATAGAGCATTGGCCTGCAAATCAAAGGGTCCTAGATTCAATTCCAGTCAAGGGCTTGTACTTTAGTTGCAAGCTCCTCCCCAGCCCTGGTCAGGGCTTGTGTAGGAAGCACAGATGTGTGTTTCTCTCACATCGATGTTTCTTTCTTTCCCTCTCTCTTCTACTCTCCCTAAAATTCATGGAAAAATATCCTCAGGTGAGGATTAACAAAAAATAATAATAAATTTTAAAATAATAAATAAAAGGAGATGCCCAGACCCCACTTGAGTAATCCTAATTCCACAGAACTGGGCAGTGTGGGGAATAGGCTGGGATCACAAAGGGATAGGCTGGGATCTTTTTGAACAGGTTTAGAAAACAAGAGATCCAGCTCATCCCATGTTCTTCTCTATCATCGAAAAATACAAATCTCTCCCTTCTCACAAAACCCCAGCCAGAAGCGGGCTCCCTTTCCTCCAGGTTCCTCAAGTGTTTGATTTATAGTTTCTTTTGGCTCTTCAAAATCATCCCCAGCATTCCCAACTCCGTCTGCAAGCCACACACCTAGCAGTAAGTGGGCAGTCAGTATTTGAAAGACTGTGGTACGGAGGGACTACTAATCAGGATAGGGTGTGCCACATGTCTGGTTCTGAGTTTCTGTCTGGGAAACAAATTAAGTTTATGACATTCAATTGTATACAGTGTCATATAATATACAAAAAGGTATTTTCAGGCTATTATCATTATGTGACATGATACCATTATCATGTTACATCACATGTTGTTCAGCAGTATTCACCCAGTTAACCTATGCACCACTGTGAAGTCACTGTAACTAGGCAAAACTCCAAATTCATATTGTGCTGTCAGCTTGTCAGGACCTACACAACTGTACAAACACGTGCCTTTAAAATTCACAACAACTGACTTGACCTTCAGTTTCAGTTGTGTCAATGCTGGTATGAAAAGAAGGTTCCATATCTTAGATAATCTGTGAAATCTAGACATAAAAAAAGAGTATCAGGAGACAGTGAATTGCCTTTTTGTAGAATACTATTTACTTGTCAGGGAGAAAAAGGTAAGTACTTGAAAAAATATGTAATCATTATGGTTTGGAAACTAGTTGTTTGTTGTTTTTTTCATTTAAAACTGAAAATCCTAGAGAATCAAGAACTGTTGCAAACATTTTAATTGGATTAATTAGCTTTTAAAATCTGCCCATTTCCCACACGGTGTATGTACATTGAGGATGAAATGTGTCCTGTGTTTTTCATTTAAACCATCTGGCAGCTTTCAATTCTTATTTTTCCTTTGCCACTTAGTAGGTTTTGCCAAGAGAGTTAACCACTCTTAGCCTCTGCTCCATTTCGGTACTGTAGAGATAAGACCTTCTGCCACACTTGATTGTGTTCATGAACAGTTCAGGAGTATCACTGTATTCTTGCCTAGCACCTTGAGTGAGAAAAGCACATAACTTATCTTCTTTTGACGGTCACAAGGAGCATGAATGAATAGAAGAGGACCCTGAGATAAGAGGTTAATTCACTAAGAGACTGGTCCACAGTCAGAGTCAATGAGTAGTACAATTTGGGGCTCCAAGTCAGATCATCCAATTCTAGGTCAAATGATCTTTCTTTCTTTATTTTTTTTTAAATATATTTTATTGATTTTTTACAGAGAGGAAGGGAGAGGGATAGAGAGTTAGAAACATCCATGAGAGAGAAATATCGATCAGCTACCTCCTGCACACCCCGCACTGGTTAGTGCCCGCAACCAAGGTGCATGCCCTTGACCGGAATCGAACCTGGGACCTTTCAGTCCGCAGGCCGACGCTCTATCCACTGAGCCAAACCGGTTACGGCAGTCAAGTGATCTTTCTATGATGCCATGTTTTATTTATATTTTGTTTTATGTTAGTATGCATGGATTGTGTTTCTTCATTTGACTTGTTATTTTGAACATTTACTCTGGTTTTTCCAGAATGTTGGGGGAATTTCTCTAAGTGTTTGCAAATTTAGGATGTAAGAACATATTTGTCAGCTATTCATGTCATAAGCTTTCACATCTTTCAATTAAACCAGTATTTTCGCCGAAACCGGTTTGGCTCAGTGGATAGAGCATCGGCCTGCGGACTGAAAGGTCCCAGGTTCGATTCCGGTCAAGGGCATGTACCTGGGTTGCAGGCACATCCCTAGTGGGAGATGTGCAGGAGGCGGCTGATCAACGTTTCTAACTCTCTATATCTCTCTCCCTTCCTCTCTGTAAAAAATCAATAAAATATATTTTAAAAAAATAAAAATTAAAAAAAAAATAAACCAGTATTTCCTAGACAGTAGGCACTATATAAATACAAAGTATTGTTTAGTTTGATGAATGAAAAATGAATGATGAATGAGCAAACACAGTTGTCTACCATCCATTTCATCTCACCTGTGGGGCAGGTTTTCCTGCCCAGTCATAGAGACACATGAAGAAATAACTGGCCCTGTACCCAATACCCAGGCTTAGAAACAGTGCAAAGGGTCAGGAGCTTCTGACTCTCCCTTGATCTCCCACTGGGCTCCTTGAATGTCAAGGCTGGGGCCAGGAGAGAAGCAAGTACCTGTCATCATAGGAAGAGATCCTCTTGCCATCCATGACTCGGGAAGGAGTGAGGGAGAGCAGACTGAGGGAGTAGAGCTTTTGCAGGTAGTGACCCTCTAGAAACATAGGAGAACAATGCAGTTATCTTTAAGGTAGAAGCAGGGTCTAGCGCAGGACACAAAAGACCAGGCCCAACTCACCTTTGACCCTGGCATCCCTATTGAAGCGCCACTGAGGCACAAAGACAGTGATGTCCCGGTGGCCACGGTCCCAGAAATACTGCACAGCAATGGCAATGCCCCGGCTGGAGAAGTTGTGCTGGAGGCCATGCCTGCAGTGGGAAGGGGTCGGCACTCTGGGGCCCCAGACGAGGGCCTAGCAGCCTGGCTGGAGTGCTCTCCCCTCAGCACATTTCCCCCAGGGGAAAACTGCCCATCTCCTCCCCCTCCCCAGAACCCCCAGTCCCACCTGGTACTCACACCATGGCCACGTTGCTGCCATCAATGACAATATGGCGGAGGTCTGGCTGGCCAGGTACATTGGCAAGGCACAGGGTAAAAGGGTCCTGTAGGGCCTCCTGGAAACGCTGTGTGCCAGTCACCAAGTTGCCCCCCCGGGTGCCTCGTTTCCACGGAGACCCCCGACCTCGAGCCACAACCTGCTGCTTGTCTCCCCTGTCTCCGCGGTCTCCACAATGCCATGGGGGTTCAGGTGCAGGTGGGGGGCTAGGCACTCTGGGAGGTGAGGCTTCCCCGTTGTGGAGCCGCTGGAGGAGAGAGGCTCCCCGGAGCTGAGCTGCCCTCTGACAGCCCTGGGCACCAGGAGGCTCACCCTGGATACAAAACCTTCCTCCTCTTTCCTGGGGCCCCCCGTCCTTCCCCGGGGCCTTCTTCTTCAGGAACCCTTCCTGCCCTACCTCTCCTCCCCCTGACACTGACCTGTAGGCCACTTCTTTCTCCCAGGCCTCTTCCCCAGGCCGCTCCTTCAATCCCAAATCCATCTCCTTGGGGCCACCCTGCTTCTGTCCCTCCTTCTCTATAGCATGTCTCTCTCCTCTTGACTCTGGCCACCCTGTAGGTCCAGTGTCCAGGGACCCCCTGCCTTCATTCAGGGGAGCTCTGACTCCTTGATGCTGAGAACCCAGCAGGCCTGGGCTCCCCGCTTCCCAGGAGAAATGCGCTTGGGGCCCTTGTCCCCTGGATGCCTCCTGTACCAGACTCAGCAGTTCCTCCTGGACAGCCAGGGGCAGCTGCAGCAGGGCCTCTCTGTGGGCATCCCCCTGGGGCTGCAGCAGGGCACAGAAGTCCCTCGGCACTCCAGCACACTGAGAGGCTCCAGGAGGCAGCCCTGGCTGAAAGTCCCAGCTCAGCCGCTCCACCAGCTCCTCCACTCGGCTCTGAGCCATGACGAAGGCCTCCGTGAGGCCGCTGACCATCAGTGACCCAGGCGCCCCAGGCACTAGGTGGGCTGATGTGCTCCAGACCAGGCAATCGAGGAAGAAGCCCTGGGCCCCCAGGAAGATGCAGTGCAGTTTGGGTGGATAGTGGATTTCATCCTGCAGCTCTGGGCTACAGAGACCCTTCAGGTACTCCTGCGGAAAGGGGGAAAGAAGGGGAAAGGAGACTGCTGGAATCCTAAGTGGCCCAGTAGCCACTTCAGGCTCACTGCTCTCCCCTGAGCTCCAGGACGCCTGGGCAGAGCAGTATGCCCCACAGATCCTGACAAAGGTAGGGGTTAAAAGGGGTCAAGAACCTCACTTCCTTTCCTTTCCAGCTGACAGCTATAGCTAGTATTTCCATTTAGAACTTGACTGGCTTTAAGATACAATTATAACTAATTGATTACAAGACTGTCTATTTATGTGTGTATGGGTGTTGTCTATTTCTATGGTAATGATCGCCATTGCTAACTTTACTAAACTCACGCTTTATCTCACTCATGCTAAGCCCAATGAACTGGGTACTGCCATTATTCACATTTTATAGATACAGAAACTGAAACTCAGGTCAGGGGGCTGGTAGGCAGTAGAGCTGTACTGGAACCCAGGCCTGGCCTCCTGCAGTGAATTCCTTGGTGGGGCCTGCTTGCCCAACCGGATTTTCTCCACTGTTCTCCCGAGGAACACACATCGATCTGAATTGAATCACTTGTCTCCAAGCCCTGGCAGAAGTTAGGTCATCATATCAGAAACGAAATCAAAACTCCAAACAAATACAAAGTTGGGGAGTCTCCCACAGCTCAGGGCCACTGAGGTTGCCAGAGAGGCAAGCAGCAGTGGAGACCATTCCCGGCCTCCCCTCTCCCCAGGCTCTGCGTGGGGGAGGGAGTGCCTGCTCCCCGAAGGGGTTAGGGCGGAGCGTTCACCTTGGCTCTGCTGACGTTCTCCTTGGGGCCCTCCAGCTGCAGCCAGATGTGAGGGTTCTCGGGGCAGTCCTTCCGGAGGACGCTCATCCTCACGCGGAAGATGCGCTCCACGTGGGGCTGCTGCTCCCACACCTTGTCCTCCGCCTCCGCAGACACGGCAAAGCGGTCCGGGGCCGCGGAGCCGGCCCCCCAGGTCGGCATGGCTGCGCGGCGGCCCCGACCTGGAAGCAGGAAAGGCCGCTCAGAGCCTCACCGTCCCCTCGGCCCACATCTCGGTTTCCCGGGCTACCTCGGCCACCAACAGGTCGCACCGAGTTACAAACGGAGTAAACAACCCAGGAGACCTCGGGCCATCTTGGAGTGAGGGGGAGAGTGTCAGGTTAGAACAGCCCGGGCCTTCCCTCCAAAGCGGGAGTCATGCATAAACGGGGCTGTCTCTCTGGGACGGGCGTCTGGCCTTTGTAAAAGGGCGACCTCAGCCCCGAGCAGGACCGGGGACCGGGGCGGGGGAGGAGGGGCCCCGCTCCGCCTGGGGCCAGAAGAGTGGGCGGTGGAGAAAGAGTCCCTCTCCTCGGGGACTCTGCCATCCCCGGGCCGAAGACGTCCCCTCACAACGGGTCCTCACCAGGGCTGGCACC